GCTCTGGCAGAATGGAGAAAAGTTTGGGGAATTTTTCGTTTGTATCCCACCTTGTCAAACCTTATGGTGTTTAAAAAAACCAAAGCAAACGCAAGGAAAGTAAGATCTCGAAACCAAAGGGATTCATGGATATCATGTGTATCATCAATAACATCGCCTATACTAACTAAAAGAGTTTGGAAGAGAGTTAAAAAAGCATGCAGAATACATAAAGACCATTCAAATTCCTTTCTGGTTTGGTTTAGTTGATTATGGAAAAACGCGCTAAGGCTATGTAACTAAGGGGAAGGATGCATCCGTGGCTGATTTTTTAAAGGGAACTGACCTCGTATACACGTTACACATGGGGAAAAAAACGAAAACGCTCAAACAGCCAACCCATTTTCCTGGAATATAATCCAGATCGGAACAACCAGTGTTCAGCAATTTAAGCTTTCGGCCGCTGGTGGGCTCTTTCCTTCCTGGAAAATGATAACCGAGTGAGTAGTGAAATAGAAGAAATTACATATACAGCTAGCGAGGCATTTGCTATAGTTTCCAGTGACAGCATTTCTTTCTGACAAGCGTCACCTAGAGAAAATCCACATTGCTTTCAACTCTTCCTACACGGAACCTTATAACAGCAACTTTACAATACTTGAGTTGAAAAGCGGATTGTGGAGACACATAGGTCTACTCCGGGTCTAAGCGGTGTAATTTATGACATGCTAAAGCATCTCTCCGTTAAGTCATTGAATGTCTTTCTTGCTCTATACAGTCGAGTGCGGAAGTAGTATATCTTTCCCAGTGCATGAAAAAAGCTGTTGTCATTTTAATAACTAAACCAGAGAAAGAACCGAAGGGTTCCTCTCACTATCGGCCCATTGCACGTACGAGTTGCGTGTAAAGATTGTTTGAAAAAATGGTAAACTATTACTTACAAAAACAATGCAATCGCACCATATCATAATCAGTTTCATAAAGGCAGAGCGACCATCGATAATATGCTTCTTTTAGAAACCTCAATTCGTAAAGCTTTTGTCAAGAGAAACCACTTAGTTTCTTTCTTCTTTGACATCGAAAAGGCATACACGCAGATACGGTATTTTGCAGGATCTTCTTTTTTGTGGTTTGCGCGGCGATCTACCGTACTTTTCAAGTAATGATTGGCTATGTTTCGACATTTTTTTTTCTGAACAAGAAGAGGTGTGCCTCAAGGCTGTGTTCCGAATTTTACTCTATTCAGTCCAAAAATAAATTCTGCCTTAATAGAGCTTCCTCCTACTCTTTGAAGGTCACTGTATGTTGATGACCTTCAGATAAGCTGCCAAGGTGTAGATATGATGTACGTTGCAAGAAAATTGTAGATCATTCTGAACAAGTTACAGAAGTGGTCGGACAGTCGTGGATTTGTTTTCCCTAAACAGAAGACTGTTTTCATGCATTTTTGCCGAAAGCGAAACCTCCATCCTGTGCCTAAGGTTCATCTTGAAGAGTGTTTGATTGAAGTCGTAAGATTCCAGTACGGGAAGTGAAGTGTCTTGGAGTGATGTTAGATCGAAAATTAACCTTCGTTCCACATGTCATGTGCTTGAAAAAGTATTTCAAAATGCTTAATTTTTTAATAGTCCTGGCGAACACCTCTTGGTGGATAGAACGGAGGAGGATCTCTCTGAAGCTCTCTGAAGATGTGAAGCAATGAGCCATCTGGGAGGCTCATTGCTTCACATCTTCAGAGAGTTGGTCCGCTCTAGATTGGATTATGGCTCAGAAGTCTAATGATCAGCGTGGTCTTCGGTTTTATCGAAAATAGATCCGATTCATGATCAGGGTTGCTGATTTGTTCTATGGCCTTTAGAAAATGTCCTGCCCAGAATCTATATGGCTACTGTTTGAATCTTCCCTTCAACTAAGTCACGAACAACATTATGTCACACAACGTTATGTCACACCCCCATCGTCCTTGTCGACCTGATGTGTAACATACTCGCTATAACTTGTTATTTAATGTACGGCCTTCTTGTATGCCTATATAAGAGTTCAGCTCCTTATGGAAAAATACTACGTGCTCCAGGCGAATGTCCAAACTATAAATTATTTTGAAATTCCGCCTTGGGAAAATGCTCAAATTCAAGTGTTGAATATTTTTGATGATTTTGACAAAATAAATATTAGCGAGGTCATATATAAGCCACATTTCTAATAGCATAGATATAAATACAGCAGTAATAGTCCCATTTTCCCTGATGGATCCAATACAGATAGTCGTGTGGGAAAATCGTTAGTTTTTTGGGACCATATAAAAGATAAGCGGTTGAATGAGGCCTGCTCACTACTCTTTGCTGAATTAACTGTTGCGTATCATGCTCAACATTTTATATCTAAACTTTACCAGAAAAAATTTGTTATTTATACTAACTCGCGTAGTGATTTAAAAGTTTTTGAAATATTTTCGGGTACCCAGAACCTTGTGATTCTTGAAGTTTTACGAGAATATATAAATTTGAAGAACCAAGAATACAGGTTCTTTAGTGCCGAGTTCAGGACCATGTAGGAATAAAAGGAAATGAGCTGGCAGATATCATACCAAAGTTCGCAATATACTCAGTTGGCTCGTACCTTTTAGCGACATAAATACTATCACTACGAACAAAATCTGAAATAAATGGCAAAATGATAATAAATGGCAAAATTTTAAATAAAAAGCTTTAATTTTTATAAGGTATGCTTAGAAATACATGAGCTTTAAGATGATGGTAAAACTTTTATAGGTTATAACATAAATTTGCTTTCGATAAATTTACGAAAATTATTTAAAAATACAAATTTTAAAAATAAATCATAAAAAATAGGCGAATTTTATTTGGGATGAACCTAGCTTTCGAAATGTGAAAGGAGGAATCAAGTTTAATAAAATGAGAGATGAATAAATATATACAATTTTCAATTAATATTGAGGAGCTAAAATTTTGAGAATTAATTTTTTAAAAACTACTCGTGCGATTTTTACAAAACTTAGCAGTTTGGCATGATTTGAGTCATAGAATTGAAATCTAGAAAAAAATTGGCATTTTATTTCAGAAAAAGTCCGATTTTGTGTCAAAATACTTATATTAGGACAATGCTATATATAAATCTAATACATATCCTAAGTAGAGCTTTCGAGACATGAAAAAAACGCAATTTGAATTTTGTCAATCGGCCCAATAGAACGGGAGATATAGAACTGTCTTTTTTTTTCGCAATGTACATAATTTCTAAGGCATAAATACTTTGTTGAATTTTGTTTAACTTACAAAATATTGTTACAAACATATTCATTTTGTTTCATCATCCTGTGAATCACAGAGAAAATGCCACTCAATTGAATATGAAAACTCCAGTTAAAAAAGGAAATAAAAAATGTCATGCTGGGATTGGAGCATTGAAACAACGCTAGAACTCTCAAATCGATGTACTAAGCAGTCATACAATAGCTGTCCTACAGGTATATTAATCTAAAAGTTTTCAGGGTATATGGGAAGAGCATTATAATCCATTGCAGACGCAAATGGTTTCTTTTGAATGATGTAGACCAGGGTTTCTTAAACGTTTTCCAGTCGCGACTCCTTTCTATCACTGAGATTGTTTCGCGACCCCCCATTAACCCATAGTATTTACAAAATTTTGTGTGTCCCCGGAAGTATTGCGCAAATCCGATATACTCGTGAGTGAAACTGTAATTTTTCACTTGTACTGTAATATACTATTGCAGTTTTAGGTTAATAACTTTAATTTCTAATTTTAAGACATAGAATAATGTGAAAACTTTAAATAAATAAGTAACAGACGAAATGACAACGTCACGTGCAGAGCAAGGAAATGAACGTTTATATTATAAAAAGAGTGCGTCGATACGTTTTCGTTGTCTTTCTTTGTTTGTACTGCCTTATTTTTATTTACTTTCAGATACAGTGTGTAAAAATATTTGGTAATTGTAAAATTATTATAATAAGAAATATCAAAACCGCTAAAATTTTTGGCGACGCCCTGCTGAAGATCCCGCGACCTCCGTGGGAGTCGCGACCCACAGTTTAAGAAACCCTGATGTAGACTGTCTAAAGTGAAAAATGGCAATTTCTCGTTAATTATATCAGATTCACACATGTTTTTCACTTTAATTATATCAGAGCATGTGTGATTACTGTGTCAGATGGCTATGTGGCAATCCATTTGATTAATCTGCCACTATTCAGTGTCACACATCTTGTTAGCGGTAAAACATAGTTTGGAATACCATCTGTGTAGTTAGCCATTAACATTTAATATGCATAATGAATAAAATACCTAATCGCATATGCACATGATTGAATATACCTGCGCAAATGCTGCAGGCTTTGAATAACTGAATTTTATTGACATAGCTTAAGGCTTCATTTTCCAGTTGAACACCTCGCAGCTTGTATCATCAAGCCATTCCTTGCAAATACCCTAGAAAATATTTGAACGCCAGAATCTTCAGATGCCTCGCTAATCTAGAATCTATGTAGCACTTTTACTCATCGAATGACTACTCTTCAACGTTTTCACTACAGCACAAAATTCATGCAGTCACTGAATTGACTGCTCGAATTTTGTGCTGTTATTGATTGTGTCCCACAAAATGAAGGTTTTGCTACACAGTGATCATTTTGGAAATTTGACCCTGAAGAGATACAACTGTTTGGATTCAATATTTTTTTAGAACAAGCCAACAAGCTCCTTTATCTCCAAGTCAAGTTTCGTCTTATCGCAAACATTCTTACTTGATGTAGTTTTTTTCTGTGAGTGATAATTCAATTTAAAAATTGCCGTCTCGTTAGAGAATTATTCCTAAGTTCTAAAAAGGGAGATGTCTGATGTTATTGGCTAGTACATTTTATTACAAACTAATATTTTGACTTTAAAAGCCAAAACAAAAGTAATATAATGAATGTACGGAGTAACAACTATGATTAAAATAGTGATTTAAAAGTGACCATTTTTTTTTTAACTTTCACCAGGTCGCAACGTTCGGGTGTGGAAACAACAACCAACTACACTTTTGTTTTCTGGGGCAATCACTGTATTCAAGTCCCCCAAATTCAGTTTGGTCAATCAGTCTTCTTTACTCATAGAAAATGTTGAACCAGAAGATGCTGGAGAATATATTTGTCAAATCAGTAATCACCCTTTTGTGGATGTTACTCATCAGGTTCATGTTTCAGGTAAGTTGTACAGTAAAGGCAATAGAAATGTTCTTATATTTTCCAATATTTTCTTTGCAAAATAGTAGGATATAGTAAACGTTGAATTAGATTCTCGAGAGAATTAGTTTGTTTATAGGTACATTAAGCAAGAGAGGAAGTTAACTTATTGAAGATAAAATTTTGTATATTACGTGGTTTATTAGTTTTTTAAAGATAAATATAATACAGAAAGCAATAGATAAGGAAAACTGACAGATATATTCAGTTTTTTAACGGTTATGGAAACGCTTAAGAGATATTTATATTATAAAATTAAACAGATTGAGAAATGAAAATTTTGTCTTTAAATTAGGCCAAAAGTCTTCTTTAAATTTTATATGTTTATTTTCTCCTTATATTTTTTCCGATATTAAAAAATTCATATTTAATAAGATTTGTGTCATTTTTTACATTGTTTTTATTTGCTATTAAATATAAGAAAAGCTTTAAAGTTAGGTAAAATTAACATATTTCTCTATAGTAACATATTTCGTACTTAAGAAAAAAAACGATTTAATTTTTTTTATTAAATCTATAATTTTATTACTTTGTGATTAAAAATTAGAATATGTAAAATTTTATTCTTAGATATTTTGTATGTAAAATTTAGAAAAAAATTCCGATCAGAAATAGCTATTAGAAAGTAATGTACTGTTAATTATTTAATATATTTTATTAAATAATGTAATGGATAATGATAACAATGCTTATTATAATTAAATGAGTAAATTGGATAATACAGAGGCTGTTCACACATTTTTAGACGATGTATATTGTATTCACAAAACTAAATTACATTAAATTCTTGTGTTTTAAATGTTCTATTTGACATCCCTTATTCTGAACTATCTTTCGACACCGCAATTTCCAGGATAATAATGCCTTTTGAAGTGGCAGAAGAGGTATTCTATCCCATTCCTCCCGAACAGCTTTCCAGAGTCCTGTTAGGGTTTTGGGACAACGTTTGGATAATGCAGTTTTTAAAAGTCCGAAAGCACAAAAATCCATAGGTGACACATCGGGAGATTTAGTAGGGATATCAATGAAGGGTATGGCCTTGATACCAGTTTTTTGTTCCATTTCGTCCTGATGGAGTCTCACAGATTGATGGCACTGTGGGTAAAGCGATGGTATTTCATTCAGAAAATTTGTCAATAAAATATGTTCCTGATAGTATTTGGAGGTAATCTTGACATTTTTTTGCACTCTCTTTATTTTTAACTTGCCATTATAAGAAAAATCAGCAACAATCATGAATCCCTTAGAAAAACTTTCTTTCGATTCTTTGAACCATGTACATAAATTTTTTTCTCCCCTTTTATGATAATAAATGGCTCTTTTTTTGTTACAATCATTTAAATACACCCATGCTTCATCTATGGTGACAATCGTTTTCCATTTTTCTTTGGATAAGTGTTCTAATTTCTAATTCTATATATAGAATTCTGCAGCGTGTCCTGCGTTGAGCGATATGTTTTGGAAGAAGACGATGCACATTGCGTTTTTTCGCTTTCTTAAGATTTAAATCCACGTTTATCATTTTGTTTACAGTGGACACCGAGCATTTTAATGATTTTGCAACTGTCCTTTGACTAGGAGGATTTTCTTTTAACATTAAACAACGTACCTTTGCAATAGTCGAAGATGTTCGTTTTTTCCTTGGATACTTGTTTGGAATTTTTGCCCAACTTGAGGCTCCAATTTGACGTTCTAAAAAAAGCATCTTAGTTTTATAAGATGCATTAAGTGAGATGCATACCTTTTACACTGAAACCCAACAGCATGTGAAAGTGGCAGATTGCTAACATTCGCCAAACTGTTTTCACACAGAACACGTTGGGAACGTGAGGCACAAGAACGCATGCAGCAACAGTCGCAAACAACAAAATTCACAATAATTTAAATGAAAAAATACCTGGATAAATTATCCAACTGAGGAAAGCACTCTGTCTTCTCTTCAATGGACAATTTAGAATTATTACCTTACGCAGAATGTTTATGCCATTCTAGATGAGACCGCAACGGAAAGTGTAAGAGTTAACTATGCAGTCTGTGCGATATTATCTTCTGAGGGTATTTTCTGGTTGTCCGAACTCCGAAAACTCACCGACTCAATGGCGAAAGAGTTCTCTTCACAAATAATAATAAAAAGAAGCATATTATAAGAAACAGGAAAAAGGGTCAATATTTATATAACCCATATTTATATTTTTACAGCTGACTTACTGAGCTATTCAACAAAATGGCGGTTAAATGTTGTCTCAATTTATGTGCATTAAAAAAAAGTGTGCAATAATCGCCAGCGGGGGCTGTTTATTGTCGTCAAACCATTATTTAATGCATACTATAAAACGTATCAAATAGTTTTAGGTCTACCGAATGTAGAAAAAAAATAAATGAGTGGATAATCAAAAGGTAGTACGAGATTGTTATTCATTGGCTTTAAGATGTTAACAGTCTTTTAATAGCATGAAATAATCTAATACTTTTGACACCCTTCCCTATGTCTAAATCCGTAGGTTTACTTTTTGATTAGACATATTAGGTTGTACCACCTGCTAGGGGTTTTATATAACTTGGCTAGGTCAACAAAACAACATTAATGTGCTATGTACTCGTATGTTCTGCGAGGTGATGCTTTATCACCAGACTGTCCAACGTCAAATAAACAGACGCAGAATTAAAACACTTCAAGTTTGCTGTATTTCACCAACTGTGAGTAATTAAATTGTAAAGCATAAATTTTCCAGCCAAACTGGAATTGGTTTAACGTCAAAGTTCCTTTCAAAATTAATGGTAATTCAATAAATTTAATTTAACTTGGGAAGAGACAATCTTAGTCTAGACCGCGACAGAAATTCGAACACACGGCTCACCAAGATAGTGTCTAACTTCAGCCTACAAAATACGCAGGAAGACCAGCATTAAAGTAGAGAACACACTCTTCCTTCAATCGGCAAAGCTGCGAACCGCAAGCAAAACTGTCACACTCTTCTTTATACGGCGATATTACATTGTTTTACTGGGCTAAGTAGTATTTCCCAGAGTAATTACAGAGTTCCTTACGGAGCCTTAGAATGAACGGTACATAAAATGTGTCTTTCGCTAGAAGGCCTTGCCTGAGTAAAAGAGGAGACATGCTTTGCCTTTGTAGCAGCTAGAATCGTCACGCATTTTGTGCCATCTATCGCACTAGAACAATATTGAGGTAGGCGGCAGAGAATATGAATGTTGCTAACTTTGAGAGTAACGTCAGCTTCCGGGTGGCGGTGTCTAATCAAGCCAGTAAACGGGAAAGCAAAACATGCAGTAAGTATTTAAGAATTTACATCATAAAGTGTAAGAGAAGTTCGGCTATGTGTAGGTGAGAGGTGAAATCTCAAGTTAGGCGACAAAACCTTCTTGTTTTAGAAGATATGCAGCATATGGACGAATGAAAAAAGTGAAAAGTGCCCACTAAGGTTGTAAGGATCTTAAGTTTTACTAACGTTTATTTTATGTTAAATCTTTACTATCACTTCTTATTTTCTACTTCCGGCCAGAATTAAAAACTTTAACTTATTTATGCAAATTTGTCTTGCTAACGCCAAGTACTTAAGTTGTGGCTTTTTGCCAAGCAAGAGAGAGGAAGGAGCTATTAGAAGCAGGCCGCTTGTCATAGTAGTTTTACTCAGTTGCTGGTTGCCTTCAAGACCAGAGGTTTAATCCTCGTGGTAATTTTAAACGTATCGTAGTGTTAGCAGTTCTCTGTACTACATACGGCTTTTTGTTAATATACGGCCAATCTTGGAGTTAGGCACTTGTTTATTAATCCAAAGTTAGTTTAGTTAGAGTTTTAGTTAATATTTTTTATATTCTTACGTTCAGACCACAAGTGGTTGGTCTCTGTATTCCGAAGTTCCGGAAATCATTGTAAAGAGAGAAAAATAAAGGGTTTCGTATACCCTTCCTGTGTGTATTGTCTACTTCACAATTTATTGAACATAGCTTCAGTAAGCTCCCTGTTCCGAATCAGGACAGTTAATGTTTCCAAAGCAAGTAAGGAGGAACACAAATCCTGATAAGGTTTCATAATTTAGAATGCAGTGAAGTTTGCAGTAGTATTGGCTGCTGCCTTGTGATTTAAAAGTTCACATTAAGCTTCTTTATCTCTCCCTTTATCCTGGCATTTTTCAAAACATGGTGCAAATTTTCATTTCATATGAAGTAAGGTGCACCACTGATAATGTGCAACAACGTATTTTGCAGGACTTGCAACTTCTTTAGTTCACTTTTTTCGCACTTTCCCAGATTGTTGACGCGTAAATAATGATCTGGCGGATAACAGCCTTATAAAAACCTAACTTACGGGCAAGATTGAGCCCTGAGTCACTTGAGAGTAATAGGAAAAATATGCGACTGATACCGTATGACTTTTCGTGTACATTGTTAATGTGCATAGACCAGGCGAATGATATGTTGAACCAAAATCTTAAGTATTTAGCTTGATATACCAGGGGGACTTGCTTTCTGAAAAGAGATACTTTACAGTCTAGTTTATCTTGAACTTTATACTTTTTGATGACTAAGATTTGAGAGTTTTCTGGGCTGATTTTTGTTTTCCAATTCTGGCACAATTTTCCTTTCTCCAGAATCTAGATCTTTACAAGAACCTGATTCGGCTTTTCGAATGGGTAGTGATGGCAGTCATGATGCTGTGATCGTCTTTAACTCGCAAAGACGCGCGCTACTTTTAACTACGCGAGGACGCGCGTCGGGCTCCGTAGACCCGAAGCGTTTTTCTTAACAAAACAAAAATTAAAATTGCTTGTGTAATAGAAGAAAACATTTAAATAATAAAAAAGAGAAAATATAAAAATATACTTTTAATTTAATAGGTCTAATAAAATTGTATTTTAAAACAATTTTAAGACTGAAATTATTTATCATTAATAACAAAAGTTAAACTGATTTTTTTGAGCGCAAATGAAATTTAGTACTAATTTATGCAATATTAAATTTTTACAGCAATAATTTCGAAATAAAACTTACATTTCACATTGTTTTGCAAATAATCGTGCTGTTTTACCACAAACATTTTTTCTCGCACATAGCGCAGCAAATTTGTGATTTTCGGTCCGTTACGCCAAGACTGTAAACTTTTTTGCAATTTTCAACTAACTTTTCAAAGGCATATCTTATCGGAGCCAGTTTATTTATTTCCCTTCTAGAAAAGCGATGTCCTCAAATCTCAGACATCTCATTAGAAATAAAAAAAACTTTGTTAGACATTGTTCGATGAAAAATGTCAAGCACTGTTCCGTCAGTCACCCGAAGGTCGAAAACATTTACGTGAGAAGCCTTGTAGAGTTTCCAAAATAAAGAAGACCGATAAATGCTCTGATTTCTGTAATACTTTTGGATCGAGCATCTCTCTATCTTCCAAATTTGACGGCAATGGATTCAATATAAATGTTTGCACAATCTACTAGAATTTTTACTATTATTTTATCCATAAGCAGTTGCCAAGAATTCATAGGGGAGAACACAAATTTTGCTTCACAAACATTTTCGAGCAATTTTTCTCACAATGTAGTGAGCAAGAGTTATCACAGCAAGTCTTGGTTCTTTTTTATTCCATTTTGTCACATTATATTTGCAAAGATAACAATTCGCTGATAGACACAATTTTACTTAATTCATTTCTATATTCATCGCTTGAGTCTAATGCCTCTTCAGAATTCGATTGGTGATCACTAAACTGTTTTTCACCAGCTATTTCTTCGTCCTCTTCTTTAGTTGTATCTTCATCAGTCGAAACTTCGGCTAATAGTTTCTGTAGTCTTTTCATTTCATCGTCATAACTCAAATAGCAATAACTTTTTGCAACTGCCTGATCTCTTTCACGATTTTAAATGACAATGCGAGCGCGCGCCTCAGGCCTGGGAAGCCCGGTTACTCAGTTTCTGAGAAAAGATGAAGGGTTAAATTCCGGAAATGCTTGTGAATGACAAGTACATGACCTTAAACGCAGCTACTGAGAAGGTCGAAAAAGTTCACCAAAGGGAGAAATTTTTTTATTACGTTTTTGTAACGACCGGGCCTCGCAGGTCCGACGCGTGTTCTCGCGGGTTAAAGTTTGGGAAATCATTTGCATAAATCAAATAGAGGAAAAGCCCAAGGATGGAACCTTAGGGGACACCAGTGATAAACTGGGTGCTGAAAAGAGATGCATTTTTCTTGTCTCACTGAGAAGACCTGTTGTGAAGAAATGATGCAATAATTAGAAACAATTCCCAGGGAAGGTTCCTCCGTATAAGTCGTCTGTGAATAAGTCCTTTATGCCAAACGCGGTCAAAGGCTTTAACGTCTAGCATAATGAGAGCTGCATTAGATTTATTGTATATTGCTGTTCTAATGAATTCTAAAATCCTTACTAATTGGTGAGTTGTTGAAAGACCTCGCCGTTCCTCAGCGATTTGTGCAAAATATGGCATCAGCAATTTGTGCAAAATCAGTCTATTACAGATGATGAGATTAAAGTCCTTTTCAATCGTAGCATTAGTACAGTAGACTAATCAGCTGGTAATTTGAGAGATCTTCCGGCGAATTTCCGGTCCTAGGGGTGAGAAAAATGTTTCCATGCTTCCAAGGCTACAGGAAGTGTGATTTTGCGATACATGTGTTAATCATACTCTTATTTGTAAATTTTATAATAAAACTGCTTGCCACTCAAACCTACATAAATTCTGAACTGGGGAAATTTTGTGGAGAAAAGAGGCAGAAAGGAAAGCAGTAACTTAAACAACATTCCGTTAGTAAAACTTAAACATAAATGCCACGAGGTATATGCTGTAGAGGCGAAGGTTTCAAAACAGTAGCAGAAATTAATTCTTTTTGAGAAGTCTGAATACAGATATATAATTCCATTGTCTACTGCTCTGTTGAGAAATTAATCTTGACTTCATGTGCGAATATGATAAATAAAGGACAATAAGAATAATAATTAAAGCTTAATAGAAAGCTTAATTAGAAAGTGTAAATCATTACCTTTCTTGTTTTCCAATGCAACTCTCACTATGCATAACTCTGGAATTACTCTAGTAGAACAAACAGTTTATATTCCTGTACTCTTGACCTTTATAATTTAGTTTTTGATTCGCCTGCATTAGTTGTACATGTAAACACAGCAGAATGAATTAGTATGCATAATTTTGTTAATGTTGTTTCAAGTTTACTTTACATGTATCTTCTCTTTAGGTACTTTCTAGAGGCATTAGGTATTTTTTTAGAGCAGGAGTGATGAAAAATGAGCAATGCCCTCACCGGGACTCGAACCACAGACTTTTCGAATACGAGTGGAGCGAGCTGACCAATACACTACGAAGCCATGCTAAGAATGCGGGAGAAATACCTTATAACTTTACATTACTATGTGGATGCATTTGATAAATTCAAATAAACACTTATCTTTTTACACATTTCTTATATTTATCTTTCGATACACTTATCTTTTATCTTTTTAATTTATTTATATCTTTTTACATATTACAGTCCCATCGTCTGTTTCTCCTGATCCTCCTGATGGGTTAGTAATCTCACAGAAGGGGGAGATGGCAACAATGCGGTGTAATACGAAAGGAACTCCTATTCCAAGGGTCACTTGGACATATTATATTGGAAATGTGTTGGTAATGCCACTCTGTTTATTTTATTATGTCAAAATTCCATTTGAGTGCGAGGCATATAAAAATAAGCATTTCACACAGTTTTAGCTTATATGGTCAAACTGAAACTTCAGTATTTTATATAATTTTTTCAATAATTACTAATGACATTAAAATAAATCATGCTACGATTCAAAGTGATTTTTAACTAAAGCATGTGAAAGTTGAAGCATCTTTACATTTCTTTGAGACATTTACAGAGCACAATTATTCAAAGAACTTTTAATTATATTTAACTTAAAGTTAATTACTTTTTAAATAAATAATGTTTGTTTCAATATTAAATATGACAAATTCAATTTTGAAACTTTTTAATTTAGCTTTGACTCTTAAAGCTTCAAAAACTACTAATGATTTTAGAGTTTATTATATGATTTGAAAAAACTGTCTCCTCAGAAAATCCCATTATTTGATTCTAGTATGGATCACTACCGAGTGGTATCAGACAGCATGGTTCTGGTCTTCACATTGCTTCAACAGACGCACATCACGCTGGCACTTATGTCTGCACAGCTGACAATGGGGTTGGTGAACCTGTAAAAGCCTCTTTTAACCTCACGGTTCATTGTAAGTGTAATTAAATTACTATTTTATTTATTTTCAACACTTCTTGCAATCGTCTTTATATTTAACGTATGCTAGCATTCGCTAGAACATTAATTAGCATATATTACTAGTAATAATTTAAACTTTTATTTACATAGAATTCATTTCGAGTTTTATTCATAATTTTCAAAAATATTTAAAATGCATAATTAATAATAATTTATTTAGTATATTACTTTGATTTTGCATTACTATGCTTTACGATTTATAAAAATAATTAATTGAATTCAATGCCATTATTTCCATTAAATTCATATTCTTATTCTAATTGCACTTACTTTATATGTATATATTTAAGTGAAATATATTAAAAAAAATTAACAAACTGAATTATTAATATTATTATAATGTGCTTTAACTTCTTGTCTGCCTAACACTTCATAGAAAGTGTATTAAAAATGTTCCACATTTTTTTATATTCACAGAAGTCTCATAGCATTCTCATTCAAACGGCGTGAGAATTATCATAGCGATTACTTCTCATAAACGTTCATCTCAGAGAATGAGCAGTATTTTTGAGATAATTCAAGGAAATTTCTCTAAGACGTCGTCAAATATGGTTTCATATATTTTTGGTCTTCTATGGAAATTTTGGTCTTCTATGTTACATTACAGAACATCTATTGACTGTCGGTGATATTCAGTATCGTTCTTAGAAACACTGATTACTTCACAGAACTTCATCTCAAAAGGTTTAATGCTGTAAGTCGTTTATTGTAAAAACCAGTTCTGCATGTCACATAGAATCATGTTTTCTAAAGCGATCATGGACACCGAAGTCCACAGTCGTCTGGTACAGTGGTTCATAGTAGTTACAAACAAAGACCAAATATTGCATATCTTTTGCATAAAGGTATTACATTTTCTATCATTTTTGGACGGTTAAATAACATTCCATAAATTACTCATTTCCAAATATAGAAATAATCAGATTTAAATAATCGAACATCCATATTATCCATACTAATCTCGTTTTCAGGGCTGATCTCGTTTTCAGGCAGATGCACCGCTTCTGCCTTTGAGATTTCTCGAAATCAAGGAATGTAAGATTTTGTCATAATTCAAATCCCATACCGTAGATCCAAAACTTTGTCATATGTAGTGTCTAAGCAGTGTCTAAGCTTGTTCAAATTAAAATGACCAACCAATGTTCTGTGTCGTGCCCAACATTCAGTCTTTATTTTCATTCCCCAATGATCTGTCTCGAATAATTTTTTTGTTATGCTATAACATAGAACAGATCAGTGCGCCACGTCACATACGTTTTTTCTCTTTGCTTTTCAGTTTCTTCGCCATTTTTTTCTCTTCGCCTCTCTGAATTATATTAACCAAGGTGTTGATGTCACTGGTAATGCTGGAAATAATAGCTAAAATAACAATAAATAGTAACGAAAATAAAAAATAACTAAAGCAGGCAACTCATTCATCTCATAAACTCTTAAAACTAATATCAGAACAATTTGCCACTCATAGCAATAAATCTTAGAACAGCTTACTGATAGTACTATTGGAATCTTGAAATTCAATATATAAATATATACTCAATATATAAATATATAAATATAATATTCATATATAATATTCAATATATAATATTCAATATATAAATTCAAATATAAAAATTACATTTCCTCTGTTTACAAAAATAAAATTTAGGATTGCATTTTAAATTGCTTTACAAATCATTGCTAGAGCTTAAAACAAAGAATAATTAAATGAAATATTTTGATATTTTTCAGCGTTTCCAAATACTTTGTATTTTTGTGTATTTACATTTCGGATCAGCTTCGTTAATGAACTTGCCAGAAAAACAAGATCATTAACTAAAAAATTTTGAATCTTTTTTACGAGTCCAAACAATAACAATTTTTTCAAGTCAAAACATTCAGCGTACTTCATTGTATTCATAGATAAGTTCATCGATTTACATCCAGATGAGAATAGTAGCCCACCAGCGGCCGAGCGGTAAAAGCCGCTGAATACTGATAGTTCGATTCGGGGTTTAAATCCCGGTGAAAGGGCTGGCCGCATGGGTGTTTTCGTGGTTTTTCCTTGTGTATAACGTGGATACACACCAGTTTTCCTTGAAAACCGCAGTGCCCGCAATTAGGCACTATACGAGACATCCCTCCTAGTACCTAACTGCGGAGCATGTAATAAATTAAAGTATGAAGAGCATAGCAATCTAAAACACTTAGCACTCTGTAAACGTAAACACTGATCATCTGAGTGCGTTCCACGGTATATAGATTTTCCTTTTGCTTTTTCTAATATCAGATATCTATTTTAAAATCAGTCTTTACAACTTCCATTTTAGTTTCCAAATAAATGAATTAATTTATTTTAATTCTACATAGGAGTAAAAGTAGCTTTTTTCCTGTTCCACAACGGATTGGTTTTAATTTGATAAAATTGTGTTATCGCAAATGTATGGCAAAATCATAAAATATCAGTCTACATTCTTTCTTCATGCAGATGCACCAGAGGTACTTGTGAAACCAGAATGGGCCCACGGGGATGAAGGCGCAACCGTCGAATTTCTTTGCACCTCTAATTCTTTTCCTATATCCCAAGTCGCATGGTTGCAAGGGAATCTAAAGCAAGGCAAGCTGCTATTTTCAGACGATAGAATTAGTGTGACAGAAAAGAAAACGGCTTCTTCGACAGTTGAAGTTTCTTTAAAAATACAGAGAATGCTTCGAAGCGACCTTGGAGCCTATACATGTGTTGCAAATAACTTAGTAGGAAAATCGTGGAAAACAGTCGAAGTATCAGGTATAACTATTACGTTTGTTTGTGTTTAACGATATTGTATATATATATATATTATTAATAGTGTTACTTTCAAATTAAATAATTAATCAAGGTAAAACAAAAGATCTTTACCTAGTTCTCAGCTGGTACGCGCCAGGGCCACTGGTTGTTGATCCTTTTCCATCTACATTCTTCGAGATTAATTAATCCAAAATGATTAATACATCTTTGCACAAACATTTTGAATACGACGCAAATATTTACATAATATATTAACATATGTATAAAAAAGGTTTAGAATTCTAGCACGACGCAGCATGAAACTTTTCCCTTCAGAGTTCTCGAGCGATCTCTGCCCGTGAATTCATAGTACATATTGGCATAACCTTGGAGCCAACAACATCGGATCTCAGCAACGGGTGAGTTGCAACATCCTTCGGCCCGGGAGGACAATTACTGTAATTGCCCTTATTACATTCCAGTTCCACTGGTCTTTTAATCGTATGGACATTGGGCAAGCAGACAGCACAGGTTCTCACTTTGCCATCTCTTCCTGAAAAGATTTCCATTATGATACCCAACTTCCACATCAACCTTGGAATTTTATCTTCTTGCACTAATACAACAGTTCCTTTTTTCAAACAGGTTTCGGTTTTTGCCAGTTTGGAATGATGACTAGATTTTAAATTCATCAAATAATCCTGTTTCCACCTTTTCCAGATTTTCTCTACCAGTATTTGTTGGTGTCTAAATCGACGTGTAAGCCTCTCCTTTGTTGAAGTTAATTTAGAGCTTCCCTGCGGCAATGATAGTAACCGCCTCCCTATTAAGAAATGACCAGGGGTCAAAGATTCTGGCTATCCTAGATCTGAGTATATAAATTTTAAAGGTCTGGAGTTCAATATCCATTTCTATTATGACCGTCTCTAATTCTCTAAATGTCAAGTATGATTTGCCTAGGATTCTCTGTAGAAGAGTTTTCAGGGACTGAAGCAAGTATGCGCTCCCAAAAGCCTCCCCACCAGACCGCCCTTTCAATTATAAATTTCTATTTGATTCCTTGTTTAGAAAACTCGTCTTGAACTTTATTGTCTTTCATCACCTGTCTCAACAACGCTAATTCTTTTTTCGCTCTATTAAAGGTTTTAGCGTGATCTGTGTACACTATTCGGCACAAACCTCTTCTAGCTATGAACCGTCTAAATGCAAACTAAATTTTTTCTGAGGAAAGGTCAACTGTAAGATTTAAATGCAAGGCTCTAGTTACAACACAGGTAAACAGTAAACCGTAGGTCTTCGATAATTCTCTTCCATTTTTGACGTACAGTGGGCCAGCGTAATCTATCCAGGAGTTTTCCAGCGGGAAACTTCTCGGCATCTGTCTGTTGGAAGGGCTGCCATATCTTGCATGACATGGTTTCGTGCGAAATATTTTGCAGACATTGCATGTGTACAAAACACTTTTAATTTTCCTACGAGCCTTCAGCAACCAAAATTTTTCTCTTATTTGATTTAAAGTGTCTGCTATTCCTCCGAGCACTACCACCTGATGACTGTGAAGAATAATTGGATCGGTCAAATAATCCTTCTCAGGCAACACGATTGAATGTGCATGTTTGTGATCCAAATTTAAATTTTGTAATCGTCCAACAATACGAATCACACCATTTTCGTCTACAAATGGATTTAGGGACTTCAGTTTTTGATTTTGAATTTAATTGCTCGTTGTTCTTTAATGTCTATATTTCATTTGGGAAATTTCGCTCGTGAACACGTTTGATCCAATAAGTTTCCGCCATTTCCGATTCGGAAATCTTCAAATATCCAATAATTTAGAGGTATTTCTAACATTGTTAATGAATCTTAAGCCGAAAACAGTAATTCGGTGTAAACTGCTATACTTCAGGGCATTAAATAAATCTTCGGAAATGTTCTGTGACGCATGCATTTACGATCACTTCCTTCGATGTTTTTCTCAGTTTCTTGTTGGAATCTTCAATGCTCTTTGTGGAACATAAATTCCGTTTTGGTTAGTCTTCCATTTCTTCTTTTAACCACATGAGCCCTTTGCATCATATTCTATTCTGTTTCAAATGTTTGACATTTTCGCCTCCAGTTATCAAGTCAGCTGGATTATCTTCACCAGGAGTATATCTCCAGTTCAACACATCTGAATTTCTTCTGTATTTCCTTCATTTTGTTGTGCACGAATGGCTTCCAGCTTTTCACGTCACTTCGAATCCAGTGTAATGTTATACTAGATTCAGTCCACATATTATACAATTAAATCAATATCCTGAAGTTCCTTTTGGATTTATTTTGACAAGCGGAAGCCTATCAAAGCACCCATCAATTCCCATCTGGGAAGGTGATAATTTTTTCAAAGGTCCTACTCTTGATTTCGATGTAATGAAGCTTGCGTGAATGATTTCGTTTTTCGAAAAAAGAAAATACAGAACAGCCCCATAGGCCTTCTGACTCGCATCTATTGAAACAGTGTAACTGTAAAACATCTTTTATATCCCTTTTGCCAGCCCCTGCAAACTGATGTCTTGGTATTTCCAAACTAGAAATATGAACTACTTCATCACACCAGCTTCACCGATTTTTTTTTAGATTTTCTGCTATTTCCGTTTCCCATGATACCTTTTGTTCCCATAAATCTTGCAATAAAATCCTAGCTCGAATTGTGTATGGATTTAAAAACCCCAATGGATCAAAGAAAGTCCCTACAAATCTCAAGATTTCTCTTTTAGTTGGTACGATATCTATCATTTTGTCATCTTTTACCAAGTCTTCAATTTCTATCGAAAATGTATCATTTGACTTATTCCATGTATACCCTAATACTTTAGAACAACTCGAATCTTATGCAAAATCTTCTTCATTCCATAGTTTTTGTAAATTCGTTTTATTTGTTTTCCACTTTCGCATGTTAAATCCACCTTCTTTCAGTATACGGTTAATATGTTCCGATTTCTAGAATGCTTCTGATTCGTCATCTGCTTCAGCGATTAAGTCGTCAATATACATATTTTCATTTAGCATGGAAAATACGTTCGGATATTGTGACCTGTATTTCTCAGCTCGTACATTAAGAATTGCTCTGAGAAGAAACAAACTATATGTTGCTCCAAAAATTACCCTTGTCACACGAAGAGCCTTTATTTTGGTTCCGTTTAATTCACCATCGTTACATAGAAACTTACTGCGTTTCTGTCCTCATCAGCAAGAGAAATCTGCAAGCTTGAATGCTCGATGTCAGCTGTAAACGCAATTCGATTTTGACGGAAATTAAGGAGCAGCTCCGGTATGTCTGGACACATTTTTGAACCTGAAGGTGAACAATCATTTAATGACAAACAATTCTCCGCATGTGACGGAGCGTCAAAAGCCACACAGAGTTTTGTAGTTTCCTTATTTTCTCTTGTAACTGCTTGATGTGGCATAAAATACGTTTTGGGTGTTATTTTAATGTTTAGTCTTTTCGGCGGTTCCTTGTTTTAAATATTTATCAATTACTTCGCGATATCTGTCATAGAATTGCTGATTATTCTGAAACCTACGAGTTAAACTCTTAAATATAATTTTAGCAGTCTCTAAATTATCTCCAAGTTCGTTTGAATTATTATTCTAGGGTAGGCGAACAATATAACGATTGTTTGATTATTTTCAAATTTCAAACGCCTTCTGAAATTCTCGAAAGCTGAATTATCTTCTAATTTGAGTTCCTTATTCGAATCTTAATTTATCTCCAGAGATTCAAGCTCCCAGAGGTTCTTCAGCAAACTAGAAACCGATTAGTTTTGAGTATTTTCATGATTATGAAACACAACCTTCATAGTATTCACATTAGTTAGTGAAACTCCGTAAACATTTTCTTTTCCACTAAATGGTCCAGTTTTTGTTTCAACCGCTACTAAGGAATTAGACAAGTCTGTAAATCTTACCTGTAACTATTTTCCAATAAAAATCCGCTCCTATCAGCAAAGAAACTTTTGACATTTTATTCCCTTGTATTGCACTTTCTGCATCGGAAGTAAGAATTGATTTTGAATAATTAAATTTATCTACTGTACACTGGTGTGCAAAAATTAAGGACGAGACGGTTTTTTCAATATAACTTTGTACAAAAGCTTTCCAAATCAATACATTTAATACCGTAAGATCCCCAATACGTAAGGACATGAGTAATGTAAGCAACACTTACTAAAAGAGAAATCAGAGGGATAAAAAGGTACAAAAAAAAAACTTTATTGAAAAAGTAGCATGGAGCGCAATGCGACTTAAAGCCGAAACAAAATCCCTGTGATGGGTGTCCAGCAAGAAAACATCCGGTCTTTAATAGGGGATATTGATCTCCCCTGACTGCTAGGCAGGGTTTCACAGCGTCTGCCCATGCTGAGAATGAGGGTGTCAATGAGTGTTGAGGCATTGCTGCCCATTCGTCTTGCAGCGCCAATCGAAGCTCCGGAATCGTTACTGGTGGGGGTAAAGGTACGAGCTGCCAAGCGTCTGCCTAGAAAATTCCCATACATGCTCGATGGGACTGAGATTCGGAGAATCGTGCCGGCCAATCCATACGTTCAATATCCTCATCTCTAAGAGCTGTTCGGCAAGCTGTACGTGCGATGACATGGGATGCATTGTCGTCCATGAAAAGGAACTGCGGACCCATAGCGCCTCTAAAAAGACGCACATATGGAAAGAAGAATCTCGTTACAATAACGGGTCCCGTTGACTGAACCTGCGTCGAAGATGTGAAGGTCTGTACGACTACCAAGCATGGATGCCCTCCCCAAACGAGAAAACCGCCACCTCCATACCTGTCCCTTTCAATGATATTTCGAGGGATGATGCGGCTTCCCGCTCTCTCCAGATGAGTATGCGATAAGAATCGCTACTCAGACTGAATCTGCTCTCATCTGTAAAGAGTACTCGTCCCCATTCATTGTCTCTCTCCAATTCCGGTGTTCCCGGCACCACAGAGAAACGCCCTTCTCCGATGGGCAGGCGTTAGA